TTAATGAACACAGTTTCTGTGTGGTTATTTCGGGGCAGAGCTTCTGGGCGGCTGGAAAACAAACAAGTGGCCTCTTACAACAAGGGGCCATGTGGTTCAAAAGCCAGAGTTTCACCCTGGATCTGTCATCCAATCATCCAGGAAGGGATTCCTTTAAAACGGAAAACAGTTTCTATATGAGGTGCCCCTGTTGCTCAGACACTTCTCAGTGTCATTTCCAGTGCTTTCTACCTTGTTGGGTGTGTCAGACTCTGAGTTCGTGTGTATACTGTTGTCAGCCTTGTCCACCTGGGACCTAGGGTTCTCTTTTCCTGCATTAGCAGGAGTGTCTGATTGGGCTGGGTGTATTTTTGTGAATGACTGTAGCTGCCATGGCTGCCTCCTCTTCTCTTCTAGCCCCACTTGGCCAGTGGGTACATTGTTTGTAATGCAGCTGTTTGGCAAAAGATGGGGAATGTTGTAATGATAGGCCACCCACCCCCCCACCAAGATGAATTTTGCTCTTGCTGAAGCTGGCCTTGAGCTTGCTCTTGAATTGAAACGATCCCCTTGCCTCAGCTTGCCAAGTAACTAGAACTAAAGGGCCTGTGCTATTGAATCTGGATGGCAGGATTTTAAAAATTAATACCTTCCCATTTTCCCAAGAAAGTCAAAGAGTACACACCTCAAAGTAAGTCTGTTCCTCACTAGACTCCTGAGAACAAACTCAGTTCAGGTTTCTTCGAGTCTGGCTAGCGTGTGGAGAGATAGTCTTTTTACCGTGTAAGCACCGTTTGATTATTTGCTGATTTTGATAAGTAGATCTTGATAACCATACTGTCCCACATGGCATTTTTGGGTCCATGTAAAATGTTTCTGTTTGTTTGTTTGTTTTCTGTTTTTTAAAAACCACCACAAAAAAATATCATTCATTGGTGGCCATGCCAAATAATGCTGTTCACAGGCAGTTAAGTTGGTTCCAGCTTTTCCCTTTTTTGCATCTTAATGCCTTTCAGATGTGGGGACTCTCTGAGCTCCTGTTTCCATGTGACCTGTGACTCATGAGCTGATGATTCTGTGTTTTGGTCCCACATCTCCCCCTCCTCTCAACACATTAGATTCTCTTATTAGTACGTCATTGTATTTGACACTTTGAGAATAGACAGACTCGGTGGATAATAAAACGGTATTGGTCATGTATTTTGTAGCCGTCTATTCCCTCCTTGTCTCTGGAGCTTGAGAATGCAGTCAAAAGGGTCTGCTGGGGGCTGGGGAGATGGCTCAGTCAGTCAAATTTCTGATACTAGGTATGAGGACCTGAATTTGGAACCCCAGCACCCATGTTAGAAGCTGGCTATGATCCTGTATATCCACAGTCTTAGCTCTGGGGAGTGGATGCAAGTGAATGGATCCCTGGAGCTGATTAATTACTTAGCCTCACTGAATCTGTGAGCTTCTGATTCAGTGAGGGACCCTGTCCCAAAAAAATGAGGTGAGAGTGATAAAGGAAAGTTTCTGCCTTTCATCTCTGGCCTCCATATGCGAACACAGATAAGGACCCCTCCCCCAAGATTTGATGGTGTTTTACTCTTTTTTGTAAGCAATCAGTTAAAGACTTAGAGCCTTAACAATGTGACTAGTCCTACCTGGAGCAGTGGAAGTTCCACACATAGGTGGAAGACTTAATCTACTCACCATGTCAGTCTGTTTCTGTCGTGGCAGGTGGCAGCACAGTATTAAATTTGGGGACTCTTGTGGTCTCCAAATGTGGTCTCTGTCATGGCTCCTCATGTCGGTTCACATATATCAACAAGGTTGGCATTAAGGACTGAGGTGGATCCCCATAGAGTCCCTGACTGCCAGCAGCAACTGGCCCCAGGTGGGCTTTACAATGTGATGTCAGAGGTGGGTTCCTGGTCACCAGCCACCTATTCTACTCAAGCTGTCAGCCTGGGGAAAGACCTCAGAATCAGAGGGTCTGACCAATGTCCTTTATTTTCTTTGTGGTGTGTGTGTGGGTGTGTAGGTAGGTAGGTGCCTCACTTTCACCCCACTGCCCCTCTCTGTGCACATGTCTGTGGATGCCAGAACACAACCTCTGCTATCATCCCTCAGGTGCCATTCATCTTTTTTTTTCTTTTTCTTTTTTTAACAGGGTTTCTCATGACAGTGGGAGTTGTTTGTAGGCTAGATGACCAGTAAGCCCCAGGGACATCCTTTCTTCCTAACAGTGGCCTTACATGTAGCTTTTTCTCTGCATGTTGAGATCTAACTCAGCTGCTTGTGCTTTTGAGTCAGTAAGCAATGCTTTCTTTATTACCTTATTTATTTACTTTTGGTACTGGGGGTTTGAGCTCAGGCCTACATTCATGTTAGGTAAGAACTTTACACTGAGCCATATTCACTGGCCCTTTGTTTAGTTTTTCAAGCCACAGACTTAGGAAGACCAGGCTGGTCTCAAACTTGATATGAAGTTGAAGATGACTTTGAATTTCTAATCTTATGCCTCTACCTCCTGAGTGCTGGGATTACATACACTGCCATGCCCAGCAACCTCGTGTTCTAATTTTATTCCCCAAAATGTACTTATTAACTGGGAAGGCTAGAACCCCACAGGTTCCCTTTAACATCCAACACCCCATTGACTTGAAGAAGCCAAAAGATGTCACTTGTCCTTTAACTGGGAACCCGGGCTTCTTCACTACAGGCAGTTGGATCCCTGTTGAAAAAGACAGCCAGCACTGGTTTTCTGTTTCTCCAAGGTTTGTGTGTGTGTGTGTGTGTGTGTGTGTGTGTGTGTCTGGAAGGAAACATCAACTTCTCCCGTTCCTGTCATATTTCAATATTGGCTTTTTTCCGCCCTTCTCCAAGTCTCCCGTTATAACTTCTTCTGCTGCTTAAATATAGCCATCTAAGTCCTCCTTCTTGCCAGATTGTTTATATTTTTGCAAGCCTTCTGCGTTATCTGTGGCTGCTTGCTTGCCTCTCTTTCCATCCCACTTCCCCACGTTGGTGGCGGTTGCTCTTTTTCCCCTGCCTCCTCTTCTCTGGGATGACTTTCAAATGTGGTCTATCAAAACGCCCAGTGTTTCCCTCTTTTCTGCAGTAGCTTTGACATCTGTTCTTGAATGCTAGCCCACAATATTCCTTTGGATTTGCTCACCCAGGATTTGTGTGAATGCCAGAAATACTAAAGGGAGTGTGGCATGAGGGCCTCTCCCCACCTCACAGTTCCCCTCTCCACATTTAAACTGTCTTAAGATTTCTAAGTTGACAGCATGCTGGTTGGTTGTTCCAGCTCTCTGTCATCTTGTCTGGCCATGAGCCACACCATCTTGGTACCAGGGAAGTGTCACCCAGGATGGCTTTCTGGCCTAGTGGGTTGTTTCCACTAAAAAGGAAGCAGGGGGCTGAGAATGCTATTCAGTCTATAAAGTGCCTAGTATGTAGGAAACCCTAGGTTTCTTCCCAGCACCACATAGTGTGTGGCACATGCACGTGACTCTAGCACTTCAAAGGAGGAGGCAGGAGGATCAGAAATTAAAGGTCATTCTCAGCAGGGCTACCTACCCCTTACCCCACTTCACACTCCCATGGAAAGTTCTATAAGGCAAATTGACTTTCACCTCCCATCCTAGCTACTCAGGTGGTAGCTAGGAGCGCTTTGAGTGATGGGCAACCCGCCATATATTGCCCACCAGTTCTCTTACATGCACCCCTCCATGTTCTTATGCCAGTGCTTCTAGCTCTAGGGAACTGCACTGCACAATTCCTTTTAAGACTTGTAGAATTTCTGAGGGGGATTAGGGATATGGCTTAGTTGGTAGGGTACTTGCCCAGTATACATACATAAAGTCCTGGGTTCTGCCCCAGCACTGCATAATACATGCCTATAATCCCAACAATTGGGAGAAAGACAAACACTGTAGGATCAGGAATTCCAGGGCATCCTCAGCTTTGTAATGATTCTGAGGCCAACCTGGGGTACATGAGGACCCCTCCCCCCAATCATGAATTGTCTCAGGAGATGGGATCTTGGTGGCCTTCTTGGCCTTTTAGCTCTCTCAGAAACAGAGTGGGACCTGCTGTGGATGAGGAACCACTTGTAACAGTTACCGAATGCCACACAGAATGTTCTGCTCTGTGTATTCAGTTACTGAATTTACTCAACTTAGCATATGAGACAGCAGGCCATTCAGTGGGCAGCCACATGGCCTGTATACCCGCTGTGAGCCTGGAGCTCCATCCTGGGCCCCATCTGCCATGGGCTGTTCTGGGCAGCTCCTTATGACAGATTCTCCCAGTCTTAGGGCTGGGACACGGGCTCTCTGACACTGTGTGCGACTGATTGCTGTTCAGAGCAGAGTCCTCAGACTTGGCCAGTGTTCTGATAACCTACCTTGGGGGTCCTCAAACTCCAAGGCCTGTGGGATGCTTGGTGAACAGTGCCTCTGAAAAGCTTACAGGGCAGTGGGGATAATTATTCTTGGAATTTGCTTTTTAAAAATTCCTTTCTCAAACTAATAGGTTAATGGATCCAATTGGGATGCCTGGCTTAGAATAAGTTTTCAAGCAATATTTGTTGAGTGGAACTAAACCAACTGTTGTTCCCTGAAGTTTCAGGTCCACACTGTAGAAGGCTGGCCAGAATAGTAGAATCTATTTGGGGCAAACACTGTTAGGTAGGGGGACGAGAACTCAGGAGACTGGCCTGGAGAGATGTGGGGGCATTGACTCAACTAAGGTTTAGGAGGGAAACTGTTCCTATGGTTGTTACCATAGGAAGGAATCCTTTGTGCAGCATGCTGAACAAATTTGGTTCTCTCCAGTTACTGTCTAGGACTGGTGTTGAGTGAGTATGTTATGCTTATGGTCCTTAACATTGTCCTTGAGCCTACTTCCTGCCCATGAGTTGATTCCCAGGAGTTTCTCCTTGTTATTCAGCACCAGCATCCACTTGATCCCTCCTGGTAGAAACTGCAAATTATAATCTTGCTTTTTCTTTCTCAATCTCCCCACAGAGAGAACTTGATGCCACCGCAACAGTATTGGCAAACAGGCAAGATGAGAGTGAGCAGTCCAGAAAACGGCTCATTGAGCAGAGCCGAGAATTCAAGAAGAACACTCCAGAGGTGAGCTGGGACTGAGTCACAGTCTTCAGAAGGGGTCTCATGACCCCTGGGATAATTTAGAATACTTATTGAGACATTTCTTAGTTCTTAAATGCATGGCAGGATGCCTGCTTTTTCCACTTGCCTCCAACTCTACCCTGGCAGAGTGTATGCCTCACCCATGGGATGTGGCAGTGGACAAGTTGTTGATACCAAGTATAGGCATTACATAGGCTGGACACATGAGCGTTGTCAGGCCCACTTGCTGTTTTAGCCTCTGGTATGTCAGGATGGTGTTAACTGAAGTCTTTCCAGGACCATTGTGGGACAGTGAGCTTCATGCTGATTTCCATGATGCTAGGCAAGCAGTGTGTTCAAAGACGGCATTGCACCAATATTGCTGGTAAAACCTCATTTCTTCTGCTATAAACTTTGATGTTTCTTGACACAGGTTGTAAGGGTGGTGTGCATGACTCTAGAGTCTGAGCTTCTATGAATGTGTTGAGAGTTGTATTAGTGACTTTTTCACTTCCATGACAAAGGCAACTTAAGAAAAAAAGGGTTTACTTGGACTTACAATATGAGAGTACAGTCCACTCTGGTAGAGAAGCTTTGACCACAGGAGCTTGGGGTATCTGGTCCATTTTTCAGTAGTCAGGAAACAAAGAGATTAATGCTGGTGCTCAGCTTGTGAAGGGCTACTTGTATACCTCCTACCCATGGTGTGTTTGTATAACTTAAAAGTCCAGTCTTATGCCACATACTTGCCTTCCAGCTATTGAGGAAAGCTGAGGCAGTAGGACTTTCAGTTGTAGGACTTTCTGGGGTAAAGACCAAGTTCAAGGCCAGTCCAAGGAACTTAGTGAGACCCTGTCTTAAAATAGTTAGTAAAAATAGGGCTGGGGGCATGTGGTTCAACAATAGAGTGCTTGCCTAGTGTCCCCCAGTGAGGGGACTGGGGGCAGTACTTAGGAATAAAATGCTTGCCTAATATGCTCAGTCTCACCTAATATAAAATAAAACAAACCATTATTAGCTTAGAAAGTAGAATACTTTATAGGTGCAGTGGATCTTTGCTTCATAAAGGGAACTGAAAAAAAAAAAAAGAAAAAAGAAACCTAATTTAATAGTTATCAGTTTAAAATATTCCCCGAGGTGGTTTGTGCTGACAGTTAATCATTTTGCAGATATTTATGGAATGCCGTCCATGTGCCAGACAGTGGGTCCTGGGGAGGAAGTCCTATCCCTCTTCTTCAAAGTTATTTTTTTTATCTCTTCCACCAGGCAGTAGACCATGACCATGTGGCAAGCTGAGTGCTGGGATCCCATAACTGGCATCTTCTGCCGAGAGAAGTCTTTCCTTGCACCATACACATACCCATGTGACAGCATTCTCTGTAGGAGCCACAGATGGCTCAGTAACCTTCCATGCAGATGAACACTTCTGCTTTTTTGAGCCTTGTTAGAGCCACGTCTTTCTTAATCTCTCTCAGTCCTGCTCTCACTTTTGTTGGTTGCTTTATTTGTGTGTTTGTTTGCTTTTGTTTTCCCCTGTGCTTTGGATGAAACATGGCCTCACACAAGAAGCCATGCCATTGACTGTCTTGTAACTCAGGCCTTGCTTCAGGTCTTTGATGGTTGAAGTCTATTTCAAAGACTAGATTAGTGTCTTCAATGCCTGGTGTGCTTCTAGGAGGAGCCTGGGCATTCTGATTATTTTGTTCAGCTTTGCACCACATCAGCCATTTTCAATGGGACAACTAAGAAAAAGGAGAGCCGCATTCCTGAGTGGAAGCACTGCCACCCATCCTAAAACTGTCTCGGTGCTTGTCTCGACCAAGCAGCTTTTGTACTGAAAGCTGGGCTCTTCAGGCCACTCCTTGATTGTCTTTTCTCACTCCAGCGTGTTTTCTTCCTCTAGCTTAATAAACAAGAAGGAAAGAAAGTGCGTGTGTGTGCATGCATGTGTGTGTGTGTGTGTTTGCTCCTCCCTGTGTGAGTATAGAATATAGAGGTGTACCCTTCCCATGGCCTCATGGCATGAGCGTGGACAACCTTAAGTATTGGTGGTCCTCACCTTCTGCTTTCTTTGAGACTGGTATTTTGTTTTATGCTGTCTACAAGAGGGTTGTTTCTTTGCTTCTCATATCACATAGATTCACTGGGATTACAGATGTGTACAGCCATATCCAGCTTTATGTGGCTCCTAGGGATCCAAACTCAGGTCCTCATGCCTGTGTGGCAAGTGCTTTACCCGTGAGCCATCTCCCATTCTGCCAGTGCATCATTTTTATCTTGGTATTTCTTGTTCACTGGAGCATGCTTCCAAAGGTGCCTCATTTCATGGTGTTGTTTACAAATGGCCTTCCCTGGCTCCTTTCTTCTGGAGAAGAGTTCATCCTGAGCCCTGACCACTGGGGGGGTCCCTCATCCATCTTTACTGCCCCCTGCAGTGCAGGAGCTCTGATGTCTGATTTGGCATGCCCATTTGGTGAAGGAATATTCTCTGTGCCTAATATAACATAGCAGTTGTTAATTGGCTTTTATTTCCCAGGGATCAGAATCTTAATTTACCCTTGCCTCCCTAGGCCTGAACTCTTTTCTGATTCATAGACATTCATTCCCACTCCCTCTTCCCTTCTCTCCCCCTATTCTTCCAGTCCATAAGTTCTCATGCAGCTGAGTTACAACTTACTTTGTAGCCAAGGCTGGTAATGCGTTTTCTGGACCTCCTGCCTCCATCTCTCTCTGAGCGCTAGGATTACATACATCTAGTTGGTTTATGAAGTCTGGAAATGGAGATAGGGGGATGAGAGTACATGGCAAGGCAAGCACCCTATCAACCAAGCTATATCCCTGCCTTTTAGTCTTTTACAGGGTCTTATGTAGCCCAGTTGGTCTTGAACACAGTATGTAATCAATACTTTCTTTGAACTCCTGATTTTCAGTTTCCACCTCCTGACTTCTAGGATTGCAGGTGTATACCTCCATACCTGATAGATGTTTACATTCTTGAACAGTTTCAAAATGCTAGGCTTGGGACAGGTCTCTTCTAGGATTGCACCATGTTAGGAGGAGACTAGATTTGTCGATGATTTCTGTGCTTCAGGTTGGATGTGGGGAAAGACCTCTGCTTTTTGTCTGTTGGGAGGAAGAGTTTTCAAGGATGAAGTGATAGCCCTACATCTTTGCTTTTCAACCTTTTGTGGAGTTGTGGAATTAGAACAGGAAGTGGAGTCAGAAGAAAGACGAAACTGGGACTCGGACTTTTGTCTGTAATCCCTGAACTATGGTGGCTGAGATAGGAGGCTTGCTGTGAGTTTAAGGCCAGCCTGGGGTAAAGTAAGACCCCTGTGTTAGGCAAATAAGAAGGAAGGAGTAGAGGGTAGTAATACTTAACTGTGGCTGGGACCCAAGTGCATTTAGTCACTGCTCCGCTGCCTTTTATAGCCATGCAGGAGTGACTCAGCCTGGAAAAAGAGAGTCACTTAAAATAAAGTAGCCACTCCAGTGGGGCACAGCTTGGTCATATGCAGCCAGCTGGCTGGAGCCTTGAGGGGCACCTTGGCTCTGGAAGAGGTATAGTGCTCATGTAAGGGTGATCTTACAATCACCAGGTGTGGTTCAGGATGGCCACATATGACGCTGACCTTTCAAGTAGTATATTGATATTGTTGGAGAGAGAGAGAGAGAGAGAGAGAGAGAGAGAGAGAGAGAGAGAGAGAGAGAGAGAGAGACCCCTGTGTGTGTGTGTGCCCTATTGGCCACTCAGCACTTCTCTTGCTTTCATTTTATTGCCAGACCTAGAAGGCTGCTGTGGCTGACAGGTTTTATACCCAGCCCTCACCCTCAAAGACAAAGTTTTTCTATGTAGTCCTGGCTGTCCTGGAACTAACTCTGTAGACCAGGCTGGCCTCGAACTCAGAGATCAGCCTGCCTCTGCTGGGATTAAGGGTGTATGCCATCACTTTTCACTTTTGTTTCAGCTCGCCTTTAAGCCCAAAACCTCCACATTCAATCTAGCAAACACACAGCTGGATTTTCTGTTCCACACTGAACACATTCAGTCAACTGCACTGGAAACCCATGGACATCCCTGATGCCATAGACTGTGACTTTTAGGGGAGAAGGTAGGCCAGTTAATGTTTTGCCAGACATGGACCTCTCAGCAATGACATTAGTGCGTAGAGGTACTTTAAACTAGTCACATGCTAGGGACATGAGCAACCCTGTCACAAGCAAGAACCCATTGTGGGGATTTGGGGACCTGCCCATACCACTCTAGTGAGTCTATGGCTCCTTCCATTTCTGATTCCCTCATGTTGGGATTACAAATGCACCTGGAGTTTTGCATGTTTGCTTAGGATTCAAACTTCAATCCTCATGCTTACATAGCAAGCACTTTACCGACTTAACTCTTCTGAAGTCTGCTTCTTATTTTGAGATAGGGTTTCACTGAGTTACCCAGAGTGGTCTGTTATTATTATTTTAGATAAATTTTTCTTTTTGTGGAGCCGTGGGAAATCTGCAGGCAACCTTTTTAATTCCTTGTTTTTTTCCTCCTCCAAAGCTCTCCATGTAAAGCCACTGTGCACATTTTTGATTCATTGTCAAGAGGTCACTCTAGTATCTGGCAGAATTATAAAACTTGAATAATCAGCCTGGGCGTTTAATCATTCTAGAATCATCTACCATCAAGTTACAATACAATAAGATTTTAACTAGAAAAAGCTTAAAAATTAAATGGGAGCTTTTAATTGTTACCAGTTAAGCACATTTAGCCAATACAAAAACTCAAGTAGTTTTCTTAGTTATAAGGAGACCCCAGGGGAAAAGTTGCTCCAAGGATCTGGTGCAGCTTAAGCCACAGTATTCTTCCTGTTTCAGAAAGAGTCTGTGAGAGGTTTGGGAGGGCACAAAGCAGTCCTGAAGAACAGAGGGGTCCAGGGGTTCTGAGTAAGCATGTGTGAGCCCTACTAGTCCAGTCTTCCTTCCCTGCCCACTCACAATGGTCTCTGTTG